TGGGTCGGCACCAAACTTGACAAGGATGATTTTTTTCATCCTTGTCAAGTTTGGTGCCGAATTGATCATTAAAGAAGAGCAATGAACATAGTAACCGTTTGCTTTTTGTAATATTACGAGGATTGGTGAAACGGTTTTATATTGCAAAAAAGAAATTACTTGTTGATAAAATTCAGAATGGTTTTGGAAATTATCTTCATCGCGTTTGGACTGTTTCGTAATACCAGTTTTATTTCTATTGGTCACTGATAGTCTCACTTTTTTGATGTATTTGGTTCTTATGATTCTTATTATATGGATAATTCGATTTTTAATTTTTGTTTAAATTGTTACGATGATCTTTTGAATCGAAAATTTAATATATTTGAGTTGGATGATGCTTTGAAAAGATTCGAGTTTAATAAGGCTTCGGATTTTGATGGAATCTCAGTGGAATTTCGGAATATTAAGGCTTTGATGCCATATCTTTAAAGTTTTTCTATAAAGATTTTTGATACTGAAAAAATTCTGAAGTCTTGGAAGACAAGTATTCTAATCCCAATTTTTAAGAATGGGAGGAGAGATGTCCTTGATAATTTAGAGGGACTTGGCTGTCATCTTGTGCTTCGAAATTGTTTTGCATTATTCTCTATAACAAGGGTGGGCAACCTTTTTTATAACATGGGCCAGAATAAATTTTACGTTTTTTCCGCGGGCCATAGTAGTTAATTGACACCTTGTGACCTGTAAATTTTTAGTCTGCAAATATGAAATAAATAAATAAATAAATAAAAAGAAATTAATTACTACAGTCGACCTCCCTATAACACTGTTGATTATTCCGTTTTATATGAATTCCATGTTGTATGAGTCACTTAGATTTTATAAATGCATGTGCCGGGCTGTGAACGACTCACCTATTTGTAAAATCTAAGTGACTTTAAACACAATAAAAACAGCACTATGTAGTTGGATACGACAGACATTACATTTTCTAATTGCATAGCTTTTGCACATAGATTTTCTTGATGGATGATGCGATGAGATATAAATAATTCAGAAAAATTCTGTTCTCCCATTTTTTGTTTGAATAAGGAAATGACTCCCATATTTTTTCCTGTCATTGCTGCCGCAACACTTCAGAAAATAATATTCAATTTAAACTAGACGAATTACATCGAAAAATATTTATTTATAATTTCTTCTAAACATCTCGCGGGCCGGATAGAAACTTTTCGCGGGCCAGGGGTTGCCCACCGTTGCTCTATAATATTTTGATTCTATGATAAGGTATATTACTGTACTTGAGAATCAGAATGGTTTTTGGATAAGTTATTTAATGTTAGATACTATTTTTGTTTTATATGCATTTATTTAAATGATTTTCTTAAGGAAGAATAGGAAAGTATGCTTTCTCTGTTGATTTATATTCTGCATTTGATAGTGTTTCTAGGAGCTTGTAGTAAAAAATGTTACGTTGTGATTTATCTCTAGCCTAATTGCTTCTTTGTATGAAAATATTTCGCTTATGGCAAGGTGTTGATCCTTCGTTAATGTTTTTTAAGACTGGTGTTAAGCAGGGTTGTATTTTAAGCCCAATTCTGTTTAGTATCTTTTTGAACGCTCTTATTGATGTCTCCTCAGGTAATGGTATAATAATAGGTGGTTTTCAAATTAAAATACTTGGTTATGCTGATGATATTGTAATTTTATCTGATTCTGTGGTAGGGCTTCAAAGATTGATTGATTTGTTGACTACTTATTTAGATGAAAATGTTTTGAAATTAAATTTGAATAAGTCTAAGTTGGTCGTTTTCCGTAGAGATAATAAAAATTCGAAGGCGGATAAATGGTGGTTTAAGGGATTCCTATTCAGATCACTTCGAATTACAAATATTTAGGAATCATTTTTTTCGGCTAACGATTCATTTAGGACACATTACTCTAATAAGATTCATACTAGACCAGTAATTCCCAAACTTTTTCGATCCACTGCCCCTTGTCAGGAGTCCATGACTTCTGTGATGGACTCCTGTTTTTATTACAATTTTGGATTCCTCATTGCAATTAATGTAAAATAGCGAGGTTAAATCTATTACATTGATAGTACAGGTAGGTTACTCGTATTTACAGAAGGTACTCATTTCTGCTAACATTCATGCCACTTATTAAATCCTGCAGTTCATTGTGTTGCCTCTTTGACTCGCAACATTTTTCACATCTGTTTTGAATCCACGACTCTTCTGTCAAGCTTTCATATCGGTGAACATGTTTCATTCTCGAAAATAGGTGGGCAGTTCCGGTCGACATTGGGATCAGTTATCACGAATAAGGAAATAAGACGCAATATTCTCGCCGTGCTATGGTAACTAATATAAGCTATATATATTAACCTAGCAACAGCAGCAGTGAATGATAGCATTTCATTACCGTCATTTTTACTATTCATCTTTAATTCAAAGTTATTTTGACAAAAGTCTCCAAATGCCAATACAGCGCCGTTTTTTCCGCCATCTTGTTAGGTTGCCAGACGTTCCATAAAAGCTTAATTAAACCGATCGCCGATGCATCGGTTGTCTGAGACTGATGCATACTGGAATATATACCCATTGACCGAATCAGTTACATATACAGACGTAATCTGTAATATAAAAAGTGAAATGTTTGAATTCAAAAATATATCTTTAGATAGCCAGAATATTTGCAGCCTACTACAATGTTGGAACTTGTCAAAGTTGCGTGTCTTTTAGTTCTGATGCCCTTCGTAACTAATTTTTTTTAATTTAATATTTCGTCATTAATTTCAAAAATTATAAGGATTTGATACTTCTTCACCATTATAAACAAAATTTTAAAAAATTAATGAAATTGAACGCTATCATTTAGAATGCACAATTTTAAAAAAATTGTAATTCATTTTCACACAATTGTTACTACAAAATTTTTTATAGTAATCAATTATTTTCATACATCCATAGAAAGTACGTATTTACACTTCTTTAAGGAAATATATCTGTGCATATAAATTCTGACACTATTTTTGATGGTGTCATTTATCAATTATTGATATATCATTACGGATGATGCCATAAAGTTAATTTTTAGAAACTACTAAACAGTCCAATATAAATGGGGGTGCAATTTCTTATATATATGGCAAACAATCTCACAATTTATGAAATTTAACATTTTAAATCCTTACAAAAATCACAAAATGGACGAATATATAAAATACATTCAAAATCTAGCTTTTTGTATTATTTTAATTATTAATTGGGTTATTTCTGTGGTTCAATAAAGTGAATTTCTCTTGTACTTCCTAAAAAATATCAGAAAATCTTATCAAAATAATATATATTTAGATTCATAATCCTTTATCCTGCTTACACAGCAATTTTTTTTTTATTCTAGCCTTCCAGTTAGAAAAATAAATATTTAGATTACACACCAATAAAAGATAATCTGACCACAGGTAACAATTATACACTTGAAATAAAAAGTTACAAATTTAAACATTCATTATGAATTCTACTACAAAAATTAATTTTATACATTTCTCAAATAATTTGCATTAATGTGTTCCAGGGCTTTTTCTTTTAACCAAATTATTTAATTGCTGGAAAGGTAAGTCTTCAAAAGAAAATTCAACTTTCAGTTTCTGAAGTACAGTAATTATTTTATTAGTATATGAATTATAAAAATTTCTGTACGTGAATCTTGTTTTAAGTTAAAGAAAAATAAATCACGAACAGAATCTATTATTCACCAAAGAAAGGGAACGATACATTCAAAGTACAAGAACCACTCAAAGTTATCCAATGAAAATTTTTGACCAAATTTTAATGTGGAAAAGTTAACTTGTATCAAAAGAAAATTCCAGTTAAAAATATGTATTTTTCATGTAGTCTTCTCTATTTTCTAAAACCACATGCCATGGAGAATTTGTTTTTTGTTAAGAACTAATTCATAAAAACTGTATTTTGAAGTAATTTCTTCACTTGCCTCATCATCATCAAATTTTTTCCAATTAAGTTCCACCTACTTCTATCTAAATAGATGTGGCAAAATAGCTCACTTTATTTTGGATCTGAGTTTAGACTGTCCACGTCAAGATGCAGATGCTCCAACTAAAATTTTAACTTCTTTAGTGTCAATATAGACATCAGCACAATTATGCTAAGTATCATTATATTCTTTATGATTCCTTCTTGAATGTCCTATTGTGAGTGGATCTAGTTGACCTTGAATTTTTTCAAACTTGGTATCACTGACTTGTGATGATCAAATTTGGATTTCCCTCCAATTACAATACAAAATTTTAAAAATTTTCTGCAAGGTTGTTGTTGAAACAACTCCACAGCAGTCCAAGTCCTGCCAAGTTCTGTCTGCATCCTACCTTATGATCACTTGGCAGAAACTTTTAAATATGTTAATGTATCAATCACTTCTGCAGTAATTTTCATGTTGATGATAGCAAGTCTTATGTGATCCTCTGAACTTTACAAGTTATGACATTTGCAATGAATTATCTGTTACTGTATGTAGAATCTTTCAAATCTGTTTTACTTAGTTTTAAATGCTTTATGTGCTGTTATCAACAATCTATGCTACTTCAGTCAAAATCTTTCTAACTTTGGTAGGTCTCATTGAATGCAGCTATTTTAATGTATAGTGTAAACATTACTCAGTGGATTAAACTGATATTTTACAATATGATGGTGAAATGTTATAAATTGGCATATGTAAATTAACATTATTGTTTGACTGTGTTTGGAACAGAATTGTGTTACAAAAAATTATTGAGTAACGTGCATCTAATTTAAGATTTATGAAGTATTTTTATATAAATATTGTTTGAGGTTAAGATTTTTGTCATATTTGGTCTTCAGTCAATAGCATGGTGACATATATGATGTAATGAAAAACTGATATCAAATGGATGTTACTTATCAATTAATATACTAAATATACTTACATGTTTGAACACAGAAAATTAGTCTAAATAATAATATAATCCACAATTATCAGGGATATTACTGCTATGTTTTTATAAAGCAAAGTGACTCAAAATTTTATTATATTTCTGGGCGAAAAACTTAGTTGATGAAAATACATTACATGAATGTTAATGTCATAAATGAAAGTCATTTATAAAATACACTATTTTTGGAAATTAAAATTCCAAAATGATGAAAGAAAGAACAACACATTTTCAATGATATGGGATGTTATAATGAAATGGTGCAATGTACAAATACAAGGCTTGAGATCACTACTTTCAATGAAAGTGATATCAAGACCAAAATCATCTATCATGTTCAGAAGTTTTATGTCTCCGTTCCACGCTATGTGATCGACTACGTCTCCTTTCTTTCCTATCATAATTCTTATTTCTTTCCTTTTCTCTTGAATGTCTCCTTTCTCTATGCTTTCGATATTCTCTATCTCTTTCTGAATATCTGTCATGCCTTGATTCTCGATGTGACCTGCCTTCTCGACTACGACTCCTGCTTCTAGCATGATCTCTGTAATAAAAAACACAAGATTTGATATATATAAGCATTATAGTTTATAAATTTATTTTATTCACTAATTAATAAACAGATTTTCTTTGTATTACTTTAGCAACTAATGTATATTTTGTATAAAAATTAAATATATTTATTTGTAAATATAACATTTTATGTTAAAGGAAATTAAACAAATTACAAATATCTAAAAATAAAAAAATCCTTAAAAATTTAATACTTATTTATTAAGTTTTATTCCCTATATCAGTGTTTTTCAACCTTTTTGAATACGTGACCCCTTTACAAGTTAAAAAGTTCTGGCGACCCCCCTAGAGCAATATTAAAACTATATCAGTAATTTTAAAAATTATGTATTTAATTTTCTTTCTGTTGAGAGAAATTATTGAAATTATTGTTGACTAAAATGAGAATTTAAGAAGGATCAACAATAACTTATGACACGTATGGTATGATACTTCCCTCTCATAGGAACATTGGGTTCGGAGTACTGTTGACCTTTTTTTTTTTAAAATGACAGTTTTTAACTTCCACTTTCCTACTTATTACTTTTTTTTACAGGTCAGCTCAGCACTTTTTCGGCTATCATTTTCTGACCCCTCCCTGGCAAAACCCATCATTCACATCTAAATGTCAATCAAAAACCAACTGTACTGTATAATAAACAGATACAGCTTTCTCGCCAAAATTGTAGTTTTTTTTAATATAGTGTAGAACCTACAAACACTTGTCTTTTTCTTTTACCTGCGACCCCCCGTGTAAGGCTTCGTGACCCCCCCTGGGATTGCGACCCACAGGTTGAAAAACACTGCCCTATATGGTGAAGTTGGATATAAACTAAAACCTCTAACTTAATTCATCTGAGTTTAAATTATGCAAGTAGACAAATAATTATCAAAAATTATAACCTTTTCCTGTTTCCAACAAAATGTTTACTAATGGAACAAATGTTTTCAACCTGATTTGTAGGCCTATTTAAGGTAAAAAACATTTATTGTCCCATTAATAAACATTTTGCTGTAAAGAAGGAAAGGTTATTTTTTCTGATATTTGAAACAAAAAACCACTGCAGAAAATTTAGAACCTTACACATGCAATCACACATACATATGTGCTGATTTTCCATTCTGACATCATGGGATGCTTGTCAGCTATGCATGACATAATGACACACCCTGCGTTTCTTTATGCAGCGCTTGAGATGCACTTTTCAGCGAACACACTGAAACTGGTTTCTAATTGGCCAACACTGCTTGTTATATCATTCTGCTACACTCTCCCTGCATAAAGAAATGCGGGAACAGTGATTTTGCAAGTTACTATGATATTGAATGATTGTCTGTAAGATAGCTTGTGGTATTATGACCAACAATTTAAATACTTTGTGGCATTATTTTTTATCTGAAAAATACAGAAAAATCATTTTCTGGTCTTTCTAGCAAGGAGAGGGCCATATGTTTGGGTAACTGATTTGAACGAAACTTGATTAGCACATAGTCCTAAACACAAACAGCTTCTTGTGCAAATAATAGGACACACTTGTCAAGTATTTCTGAAAAATGGGCTCAAAAAATTGAGTGTTTAGATTATAAGTCTTTGGAAGTTTCATTTCTCCCTGTAATGATGATAGCCAGATGGAGAAGTTGCCAGGCACTGGAGGTACACAAAGTCAGTTCAAATATCTGCAATCAATTCTGTTTTTTTAAAATTATTATTTGTATTTGTGTAACAAAATTATTTTATTACTTTTTACGTTTAAAGCTTATAAAACAAGGAAATTAAAAAAAAACTAATGTTTTTCCTGATCTACAAAACAAGATTCCTTCAGATTTAACTCTTGTATGTTGTTAAATATAACTTTTATTTCTTCATATTAATTCTCAGATATGGTGGTATTGTTATACTTGAAATGTAAGAAGCATGAGCACGTGGGGAAATTGCCCATAACATTAACAAGAAAAATATTCTGCAATCATGCTACCCTATTTTCATATCAGACTTCTCTTTTTTGTCCATCTGCAATAACATATTAAACTTATTCACTTGTGTTAACATTTTAAGTAACCACAAGCAAAAATATCTGAAAATAAATATGAAAAAATAAAAATTTTATTTAATGACATACAAGAATCAAAACTACAGAAATTTCATTTTCACTAAACAGGAAATAATGTCACATTTTTTTAAAAAATCTCTTGTTTTATAAGCTTTAAATATGAGGAATAATAACAGTAATAACAATGCTAATGATGCAGTAAAGTAATAAAATAATAATGTTACACACAAAAAATAAAACAAAACAAACTCCAAAGGTTTGAACCTACATCGTCTAGCTCCAGTGCTTAGTGTCTTATCCACTCGGCTACCACTGTGAAAGTTCAGATGACTTATAAGCTAAACACCCAATTTTCAGAGGCTCAAATTGGAAATGCTTGAGTAGGATCCTATTATTTAGACAAGGAGCTGTTTGTGTTTAGAGCTACCTGCTCATCAAGTTTCCTTTTAATCAGAGACCTGAATGTCTGGCCCTCTCCTTGTGAGAAACATCTCAGCCATCCTATCACTTATTTCAGCTGGAAGCTGAATTTATTTTACATTAGCCCATGCTATTGCAAAGTTTAAAGGGTTCCTGTAGAGAGCCCTTAAAAGGACATGAGTTGAAAACAAATACAGAAATTCAAGAAAATTGATATTCACCCATCTCTAATGATAGATGATGTAACAGAGTTCACTGTTACTAATGCTTTTTTTTTTTAAAATGCAATATCTTCTCTCATTATAGTCATATAATCTCATCAGTTATAAAAAACAGCACTTATATTGTTATGAAAGCACTTCTTTTTAGATCATCCTAATTAAAACACATTCAATAACACTGACAGTAAATGTGTTATTGAACATATCTGTATAAAATTTTTTTTTTATATAATTCATTTTATTTATTTCATATTCACAACATAATTGATTTTAATTTGAAAACAATTTAAAATATTAATTAAAAATTTTTTACCCATGACGAGTATGATTTCTATGTCTGTCACTACTGCTACTGCGATGTCTTCTTGAACTATGGCCCCTCTCTTTTTCTCGTCGTTGACGATCCCTTTCACGAGCTATTTCATCTGCTACATCCATTCTCTCTCTATGACTACGATATCTCCTTGAATCTGGACTTGGAGATCTAGAATATAATATAATTTTATTTTGAAATAAAAATAAGTTGTAAGACTTAAAGCACCTCTCAATAGACTGAAATGATATAATAAACACTTTGATCAAAAACCTTAAATTATATTCCAGTAAAATTTAATTTGAAAAAGGTTTTTTCAACTAACATTGGAGATTATCTTAAATTCAATGACAGAATAATTAAATCAAATAATGATGGTTTTTGAAAAATCAAACAAAAGAAATTTTCAATATATATATAAAATAGAATTAAAAGTAACAGTAACCTAATTTCCTATCAAAAATACACACATACAAAAGATATGTTGTTGATATTATTATTATTATGGAAAGAAAAAAATGGAAATTAATAAATTCATACAACAAATGAACAACAACTTCTATGGTCTCACCATTAAATTTTATCAAGCCAGCAGCATAGTAGTACATTTCTTAGACATCAAAATCAACATCAGAAATAACTGGGTCCATACAAAAGTTTATTATTAACCAACAAACACACCCTTATTTATACTGGCAATCTCCTATAACACTTATGTGTATAAGATTGCAGCTTTTAGTGCCTTAACCCAAAGGCTTTTACCCACTGTATATAATTATTCTGACACAATCAAAGAACTAGAACACTTTGAACAAATAGCTACAACACACAGTTACTGCAAGAACCTTATCAGGAATTTAGCTAGTAAAATTTCCAACAATACTCACAACTTGGACTTTAAAGATGAAAACCGATACAATCAATATAGAAACACAAGCCATATCATTCTAGAATATAACTGCAATACAGTACAGCTGTATAAGGAAATAGCAAATCTAAAAGAGACCAAATTAACTTTAAGGTGAAATTCTACCATCTTTAACTTTCTTAAGAACATAAAAGATAAGACTTACATATAAGCATAGGATACTGGGGATATAAAGTTCCTTTGAAAAATGACAGATTTGGCTAAGAACTTGAATATATCGGTTCCACAACAAGATCACTCAAAATAAAGACTAGCTGAACAAACATGATATCAACAAAAAGAAACAAAACACAGCCATAGCCATGTACAGAATAATAGATAATGAAGTGTGCCTTCCTCAACAAGATTACCATCATCAAGAGAACAAAACATGCCAACTCCATCAAGATACTATAAGCATTAGAAATATTTAAATCTGACAAAAAGGATCATTGCATAAATTTTGAAGATGAAAAACAACTATCATACACATGGCAATCCTTATATGATCAAATGACCAAATATGACATAGGGACAGTATAACAAAAAGTTCTCAGTTATAGTTATATAGTCTTTAAATATTTATTTTTGTATCACTTTGTACATGTTAACAGTAAATATTAACTTTTATATATTTGCTGTTACTTTTATTTCTATTTTATATATTTCAAAAATTTCTTTTGTTAAATTTTTCAAAAAACATCATTGTTTGATTTAATCATTCCATCATTGAATATACAGACCTGAAAGTGATCTATATATTGCAGTTCAAAAATGTTAATTGAAAAAATCTTTTTCAAATTAACACTTACTGGAATACAATTTAAGAGTTTTCATTGAAGTATTTAAAATAAGTTGTAATTGAAATGATATTAAAAAAATCACAAAAACTAATTATAATGAAGCAGAAAATATTCAGTGAGAAAATCAGCTATTGTAAACAGTTTTAAAATCTAATAAATAATAAACATAAAACATTCTTTGTTTTGTTTTGTTCAAAGAACCATAAAGCACTACAATATTACTCAAGATATTAATTGCTCTCTCATGATTTAAGAGAAAATTAATTCACAAGGTTTATATATGTATTATATATTTTGAATGATAGCATCATTTATATTTTAATATAAAATGTAACTACAGCTAAATAATTACATTTCTTCAACCTCTGCAAAGTATTGATCTATTATTATTTAAATAGCAAAGTTTGTTTGGTTTCAAATAGTTACAATAATGCATATAAACTGAAATTTTAATGAACTTTCTGAATAAGTAACAATTTTTCTAATACAGAGGTACCTCAGGATACGAAATTAATCCGTTCCGAAACTGAGATCGTATCATGAAAATGTCGTAAGGTGAATCATTTTTCCCCATACGATTACATGTAAAACCAAATAATTCATTCCAACATGAAAAACACACTCAAATTAAAGCTACATAGTACATTAAAAAAATAATAACAACTATAGTAAGGAAAACACTGAAAAATGTGTTTTGGAGTTGTAAATGTATAAATAACCATAACAGAATAATAATTGATTAAAAAAAATGTAGTTTTATTTGCACTTTACCTTTGAGGATAGACAACGTGGAGGTGTAAACTGGTGGCAGAACAGAGGGAGAAGGGAAATAATACTAAAACTTAACTTACATAACATAATGTAAAAATAGCTTAAAAAAGATTTTTAAAAAATTAGTGTTGTTTTATATATTTATAGTTTTTTAAAATTTTTATTTACTGCTTTTTGCTTTCTTTTCTTCACTTCCACCAGCACTTTCACTGGATAGAGGTTGCTTGGTAAAATATCTATCCAAAGAGGTTTGGCTTTGCCTACTTTTTAAAATGTTTCTAAAATGACTTAGGCAAATGTCATTACTCTGAGCAGCAATACGGCCAGTGTGAACCTTTTCGGGATGTTTCTTTTCAATAAAATCAGTCACTTTCTGATAATACCTCAAGATTTC